CCTTTATGGACAGTTTTAAAAGGAGATTCCAGAGTAAGAAAGAATAATAAGGAAGATTTTGGGGTCTATCTTTAAAATTAGTCAATTAAAACCTATGGATCACAACAGAGTCTGATAGTGTGCTGGAAGTTGAGCACCCAAGTTGGAAGGCACTCATGATACACAGTGGACTTGTATGTGCCAATGATCAGGAAGATAGTGCAGGACCAGGTAAAGTTTCATTGTCCACGATGTTGTCATGCCAACCTGATAGCAATTAACAACAACCGTGAACTAGTGGGAGTAACGAAAGGGGAGATGAGATCACTCACTCATTCGTACAGTGGAGTAACTAGAAAAATTACCTCATGGAGCTTTTGTGAAAGTAGATAATGCTCTCAGTAAGAAAAGGGAAAATGCATCACCAAAGAAGATTCCTATGAGTTGGAGTTTATTCTTTCTCTCCTAAAATGATAGAATTAGGTCATAGTAACTTTCTTCTAAGTTCGTTGTATCTATCATCTATCTATTCTATCTATCTATCTATCTATCTATCTATCCATCATCATCATCTATCTGTATCTATCATCTATGTATCTATCATCTATCAATCGTGATGTGATATTTTTACCTGTACCCTCTTGCAATTGGTGTTTCTTTAGAACATTAAAGAACAATGACTCCGAGAGCATTCTGTTCCCTCATGTGCTCTCTACTTCTAAGCTCTATTCAGATTGAACCCCATTTCGCTGAGGTGACTCAGCTTTCAAGTTGAAATTCTGCTAAGGATACCTTAGTGGATATAGTTTAGGGAAATTGAGCTCATTCTTGGCAGAACAGCTTTTTAATTCAACACAAATAGCTAAAACCACCACTGGGAAGTAGAAACATTATGGAATGCTACAAAATCTATTTGATTTGTACAAAGATATAGCACAATTGAGCTCAAGTGGCAATTAATAAAGTAGCAGGGAACAGAGAAGACAGAACAATAAATAATTTTTATGTTTTAAATTAAGCATTTGTAATCCACATGGCGTGCTTAATGCTAGAATTTGGGATGTAGTCTCTAGTGATTGAACTTATCAAACCCAGTAAGAAATGCATGGTTTAGCAGTTATCTAGGGATTTAGGGACAACATATTTTTATGTTTAAGGTCATATCAAGAAATGAGAGAGAAATATTATTAGTCTGTGACTCTTAGCATTTTCTTCCCCCCTTCCCAAGAATGCAACTCTCCATTCATTATGTTTGCTAGAGATAAAGGTAGGATGTATATACCATTTAGATTTAGGTAGAAAAACACAGAGAATTCTATCCCATGAATAGAATTTAAAGTCTCTAACAGCTTTCTCCAAAGCAGAGAGACCTAAACATAGCCATTCAGCAGAGAGAATTTTCTATTCTTGCTTAAGTGTTGGAAGAAATAAAGATTGTCCAAACAAAAGCAGGAAGAGGAAGAAATGCTACATCTCTGACAAAGAGTTGCCAGGTTTTCAGAGTGAAGTCTTCCTGTAGGCAGAGGTAGCACAGGAAGAACAGTGGCTTGGTAGAGAATGGGAAGAACCAGAAAGCAGCTGCTGTGGAATCAATTCTGACTCACGGTAACCCTATGTGAGGCAGGGTAGCACTGTGCGCCAACAATGGCTGAATTTTTTAGAAGTAGATTGCTAAGACTTTCTTCTGAAGTGCCTCTGAGTGGTTTTGAACCTTCAACTTTATTAGCAGCTGGAAGTGATGAACTGTTTCGACCATTGAGGACTCCAATGGGGACAATAGTAATTGGTTATATAAAAAGCTTTACCAAGGGCCCTAATTCAACATGGTTTGGTTTAGTACTTTTGATGTAACTCTTCTTGTCATGATTATAGCAGGGTGCTCCTCAGAGGCAAAAATGGTGAAAATTCATCTTTCATATTTTGGACATGTTGTCAGAAGGGACCAATCCTTGGAAAAAAGACATCATACTGGGAAAGTGGAGGGTCAGAGAAATGGAAAACCTTCAAACAGACGGACTGACACAGTGACTCTTACAATGAACTCAAGTGTATCAGAGATAGTGAAAACAGCGGAGGATAGGGCTAGGTTCAGATCTGTTGTTCATAGGGTGGCTATGAGTTGTAGTTGACACCTAATAACAGCAACACTGTTCAACATGCTTTGGCTCCATACTTCTCATTCTTCTTGCAGTTGATATTCTCATTATTACTACTATTATTTTGTTCCCAGTTAGGTTGGAAATTTTCTTAAGAAATATCAAATGACTAGCTCTAAGCCATGATTGCTATTTTCTTGGGTCTGCACCTAGTATACTTATTCCTTTGAAGTCTAAACCAACTCAAAACTGACCCTTGATTTGGTTTCAAGGTGGTAAATCACACAGGAGGAGGCTGTCCATCTTTCCCTCGGAGTTGCCAGTTGGATTCCACCCATCAGAGGGCACGGCCTTTGTGTTAGCCGCACAATTCCCAGTGCTCTACACCCACCAAGCTCCCTTAACTAGTACAGTACATGCATAAACAGTCAGATTAATGGCTTATTTTGCATAATAACAAGACTTGACAACGGATATTTGTGAATATTATAAAAGCTTTATCTAATATAGAACATTTGACACATGATTTGCGCTTGAGAAATTTCCATTTATGAGGCCAAATTCTGTTTTCCTTATCTTGACAGTGTCTACTTTGGGTTGACATTTGACTTTCAGGATATGTCTTCTTAATTTTTTATCCTTATTAGGATATAAATTTTAACAGAGAACTTTAAAAGTCTTGGAAGTTATTTGATCCTGGAATAAGACCAATTTTTTTCAACAATAGCAGTTAATGTAATAAAAGCCATCAGGTTAGGGATATTTTATGAAAACGTTTAATTCAACTGTTTCTTTGGAATGTAGTAGTCATAGTTTGGAATTTAAGTTACAGTTCAGTTCTATGTGGTTTTTATGCTACTTAGTGTCTGAGAATACAAATGTCATTTAAAGTTAAGGCTTTGCTGTTCATTTTGAAACAACAATTTACAAGTGTCATATTGTCATAGAAAATAAAAATTTCTGTAAAAAAAATTTTGCACAAAATTTTTATGATGGTACAAAACATGAAGCAATAATATACCAGTAAAATGAAAACATTTTACTACAGAAAGATTTTTATAGCTTTCAATAAAGAAAAAAATATGTTATTTTTACACCTTTAAAAATTACAAAACAATCTAAAACAATATAAACTGAACATTTTGTAACACTGCCTTTACAAATTAATAACTTTATAAACATATAATTTTTAAATATATTTATCAGTGCAAGATACTTTAAAATGTAAAGTTGCAGTATCATTTTTCCTTGATTGAGGAGCATGGAGTCTGTGGTCTTCTCAGGAAAGGGAGGAAACCGAGTCTTAGTGTTTTCTTCCTGGTATGATTGTAACAACTGAATGAATGCTTCTGGGGACAAAACCCAATTCTTCTTTCCTGGTAATCAATACTTTCCTGGAAACAAAAGGCATTTTCTATCTAATTACACCAAGATGAATAGACTTGTCCTGACTATGATGCAAATGGATCTGTGGAAAGCTACATGATGACAACCTAGAAATCATCATGTACCCTACAGCATCACACAAAAACACCAACGTCAACTGAAGCTTCTTTGGGTTAATTCACACACTGCCCGGAAAAAGAGACTCACTTTGTTCTGTTAGAAGTCTTGCCAGCACCAAGGCTGGTCTTGTCTTGATGAGCCATTGGAAATGCTTTTAGAAGCATTCATTCTGGTTTGTTTGGGATGTGGTGTTTTTTGTTTTGTTTTTTTTTTAACTTTAGGTTGTGCTTTGTTTTGTTAACCCCAGCATTACTGCTGAATGGATTGCTTTAAACATTTGTTTTGACTTTGCTAATTCTTCCTCACTCCCTTCTCCTACTTTCACCTACAGGCACCAGGATTTGTAGCATCTTTCTTAACTATTCTTTTTTTCAGTTTCCTTTGTTTGACATAATATATAAATAAGAATATTCTCAGGGGCCATTTTTTGCATGTTTGTATGCAAATAGGATATTGTTTTGTATCCTCTTGCCCCCTATAAATATTTAGAAGATTTTATTCAATTCTTCAGGTTTCACTTGAAAGCCAATTAATAGTATTCCTCCCTTAATCTATTAAATGTCAACATTTTTATCAATGAGCACTTTCATCAGAACAGATAAACACACACCGGGCTTCAGGAAAAAAGATACTGTCACTTTAGCCAGTTAACTAGAAAACCAAAGTTAGACTTTGGAGGGCAAAGTTAGGAATTTCCCTTATTTATTTCTTTTTAAACATAAAAGTCTAGTAAAATGGTTTGCCATTTCCAGCAAGGTTAAAGCTGCAAGTTTCTTTTCTGGACAATGGCAAATGCTTAAATTTTAAGAGAGGTGGGAGGAGAAAAGAAAAAAAAAAACAAACAACCAGAGCGCTAAAGAGAGAGAAAGTGTTTACATTTGAAAATACATTCCATATGAAAGGACAATAAGAGAGAATATTGCAGCTTTATACAAAAGGGTCAAGAGACATGAAATTGGAAATTGAACTACAGAAAAAAAAAAAGCAGAACAATTAAGCCACGTTGCCAAGTCTTCTGAGCCCTTGCCTTCCCGGGGGCTGACGTCTCACGCTAAAATATACTTTCTTCTTAGTCAGTGGGCCACCAGGGTTTGATTAAAGAGTTGGGCTGTCACCAGCGAGGAACGGAGTGGGTCATTAACGTAACACAACAAGAAGCAGTACAAACAAAAAGGCACTTGAGAGCACATAGAGTAGCCAGTGCCAAGGAGTTTTCGTTTCGGTTGTCGGCGGTACACCCGGTTGCCAGCAGTGTTTGGTGATGGCACAGTTTTCTGCATGGAGGTCACAAGCACGAGGTTGAGTACAACACTGGAAAACATCAAGAGAGAATCTGACGGTATTGCTTCGTAAACAGAGCTGACACACTATACCGGTACTGAGGCTAGGGTACCTGTTAAAAAACACATCCTAATCCTTCTTTGCCTATGCACAATTCGGGCGATTATACACAAGGACAGCTGCAGGAGTCCACGGGAATGCAGATAAGTCTAGTTTACTCTGGACACTGGGCTAAAGGTAGCATGTCCATCAGAAGGGCCCCCACTGAATACACTTGGTGCCAGCATCTTGGATTTTGCACAGTTAACAAAAAACAGAAAGAAAGGAAGAAGACTCCATAAAAGGGAAAGGAGAGAGAGAGAGAAGGGGAGAGGGTGAGGGAGTCCAAAATTGAATCATTAAGTCAATCATACTTGGTCTTAACACCAGCATCAGATTATTCAATTGAAACCAACAGAGGGGGTCAACACAACCTAAGAAAAGCTGACTGTACATGATTCCGATTGTTAACACAGCTCACTTGTCCATGTCTGTCGGCTATACTCATTGAAGCTCCTGAGAAAAGCCTGGCTCAGTGTCCTCAACGCACTTCCCAGCTTGTACAGTAAGAGAAGATCCACAGTTCCCAGCACGCTCAAGTTCCGTCCTTCCACTTCAGTCTTCCCACTCATCTTTTCATCTCCGCCCGCCTTCATGCCTCTGAGTAAGTACTCTGTGTGTTCAGTTTGTCCTTTTTCAACTTCACACCATCCACAAGTTCAAAGTTATAGTTCTCGAGGGCAGACAAGTTTCTTTCAGACATGCCGTTGTGCCAACAGGCACAGTAGAGCACCACCCCGCACACAGCCCCGAGGAGGACCCCCAGGGCGCTCATGGCGATGATGGTGATGAGAATGGGGTCCAAGGTCTTCAACACGTTGCCTGGCTTCCTTGAGATGTTCTCGTCACCTTCTCTGGAGTCTTTGTAGCCTGGGGTGCTCCCTGTGGAGGAAGGAAATGAAAAAAAGCTCCATAAACAGCGCCAGCATGCCTTGAGAAAGCAAACAGAAAGGAAACCAGAACCAACTCATCCCACGGTCCAGTTCTGCCTGTCCTCTCCCAAGAGCCTGCTGAGGATTCCTGAAGTGGGGCTTGGTGCTCCATCGCCTGCAACCACCAAGGTTTATGTTGGGCTGGGAGTCCAGGTGTGGGAGGCTAGGCCATTGGGAAGTGGATGCTGTGACTGCACATACAGCTTAGCACATGGCAAGTACTGATTCCAGCTGAACAGTGAGGGTTATCTTGTAACCACACTCAGATTTCCTGCAGCCCTCCAGCTGTGCTAGACTGTAAGCTGTGTTTATAGTCCCGGGCCAGATATGCAGTCATTAAGCTTTGCAAGATGCTTAGTCACACGTGTGGCTGGGGAAGGCATGTAAACATTCCCCAAGTCTTTGCTTGATTCCAAAACCAGACACCAGGAGCCCTTTGGTGCTGCCCTTGGCTGTGTTGTAATTCCCAGGGTCTGGGGCACAGCTTTACATAGGCGTGTGTTCTCCCACGTGGACAATCTTCAAGCCAAGGAACAGTTTACCCCCAAGTTTACAGTGGTTTCAATCAAAGAGCAGAGATCTCTCAGAGCAAGTGAGGGCTCAGAGCTAACATTTAAAAAAACATTAAGGCTCAAATCTGGGCACTGAGCAAGTGCTAAACTGAATAGGACACATTTAATAATCAGCATCTTTGCAAGTTTGGCGGTTTCACTGGAGACAGTTCACTGCTTTACAGTTCAGTCACCAGGGAAATGTTTTCTTTAGAGTGGAACATGAGAAATTATTAGCATGGGAGCTTTGAGCCTAATTACCTGATACTAGAAACAGGACTGAAATGCTAATGTACAATAGGCGTGGTGTTTACTTAATGGTGTTCAGATCAACAAAGATTACCATCAAAGAAAACTAAAAATATGAGATGCAAGTCCCTAAACAGAGGGAAACAAGTCATAGAGGCAAATGAATACTCTCCCTTGATGAAGCATTGCTGTGAAACAACTTCTAATAAAGTTTGTCTCTCAGTGTGGACTTAGGAGCTAAGCTTATTGAGCCATGTGTTCATGTTATTAACAGTATCACGCTGTATTTCTTTGACTATGATATGTATGTGTCTAACCACTAGAGGCAACAGATGCTGATACCCTGTGATAGTCATGGCACTTCATTGTCCACAACAGCTGTCCAATATCCAGAAATGCTAGCCAGGAGATAAGTAAATCTCTGGGGAGAAAATAATATTAGGACATGCCTAATTATGATAGAAGCTCTTGTTTGTGATCATAAAGCAGTCTTCAATGAAAACACATGTTTTTTTATCTGCATGCGATGCTACTACCTAGTTAACTGTGTTACATACTTAGGGAAACTGCTCGAGTTTCAGTCTTAAATTTTAAAAGGGAAGAAACTAGCACCATTGAATTGATTCAGACTCAGGCAAATCTATTAGATTTACAAAGCTATAAATCTTTACTGGAGGATAATGCCTCATTTTTTCCCTAAAGACTCTAACCATTGACCTTGTATCTAGCCATCTGACATGTAGGGCATCACTAGGGTTCCTTATAAAATGGGATCAACTCAACTCATTGCCATTGAGTTAGATCTGACTAGCATCTTACCATCTATGGGATTTTCAGAGGCCACAAACCACACAAGAGGACAATGTTCATCTTTCTCTCACAGAGCAGCTGGTGGATTTGAACTGTGCACCTTTCAGTTGGCAAGCACAACTCTTTATTCATTATACCACCAGAACTCCTTAAAAATGTGGATGGATATATCTTTTTGAATGAATGTGATAAATAGGTAATATAAGCATCATGCTTGGAATACAGTAGTCCCTTAACAAAACATCATGATTATAAAGCCAGGATCTTCGTTGGGAAAGGATTACTCCAAAAGCAAATTATCACAGAAATTGGGCTCCAATTCCCCATAGATTAAATATTAACAAGAAAAAGGAATTAAGTGTCAGTTGTATATTACCATATTTAAACCATCATGAGCCATTCATTGCCTTTGCTAGTTCTATTTCCAAAGTTATCAAATCAGAGAGTTTCACTAGATTTTCCTCTATCTCCCCTTTGGGTGCAGGCAAGGAAAGACCAGGCTCACAAGATTTTTCCAGCACTCACCTGCTTACTTATCACAAACTTCCCTGAGGGAAACTTAGGAAAGGGCACTCTGCAGAACGTGCCCATCTATGACCCAGTTCAAGACCATGGGCACGAAGGTTCATTTCCTTTTAATGACATTGATATATATACCAACGGGCTAACGTTCCAGAAGGCTTCTTAACATAGTGAATGCTATAGTAATTTAAAAAAATTGGTCATCAAGTTAAATTTACCTGCTTCATCTATTTTATTTTCTGCATGCTTTTTATCCAGATCTGTTGGTTCTACAAGTCAAATAAAAAGGAAAGAGGTTATTTGAATTGTCCACAAAATACAATGCACACAAAGCCCATACACATGATCTCTACTCTAAATAAACCCATTTCTGGGGCCACTGCATCGCTCCATTTTGTTGAATGTCTTTCTCTTTTTAGCGAACTCCCTCAAAATGGGCCTTTAAACAGGTTTCCTTACAAAGAAGTATGTTTTCATTCAAGGCATTTTTGCCTGATGTTTTTCAACTGGCCCCATCAAATTATTGTCACTTTAGGGATTGCCCATGGCCAATACAATACAGTACACTATAAAGCTTTGTTAAGTTGCTAAAATGACCAAAACCACATTTAAACCAACAGGCTTGTTTTGTCTTAAACTTATCCAATAGGCTTATTCCATTTTGTTATAATTAAAATCCTGTTATATAATAATATATAACAAAAGTATAAGTGCAGCCAATGGAGCTTAAGACTAATTACTGTGCTATTACATTGCCATTAGTGATGCTATTTATAATTACATACCAAGAACTAGGGAATATAATTTTTTTCTTTTAATGTCTGACTTTTATTGCTATAGTACCAGATTGATAAGGACCAATTCTGAAAACACTAGGTAGAGACTCTGAATTCCATTTATCCTTTTGAGTCAAACTATTTTTAAAGTCAGACATACCTACTTATGTGGAAAAAGAGAATTATGGCTTCTGTGATTCACTAGCTATGTCACCTTCACTGAATTCACTATAATCAGAGTTTTCAAAGGCCTGCTGTTTCCTTTATCTAGATGTTTGAGTTTACCACTTTCCATCCAAATTTCTAATATGGCACGTAAAACCATATATATATGCGGTGAGTCTTTCTTCTTTGCTGTGATATTTGATTTCACTTTGTGTAGTTTTGTAGGTACTGATCAGACAATCTAATAAACTGGGAGGGCTAGGCTAAACTGGGAGGGGTAGCTGAAGGCAATCTGACCTGTTTTTATGCCCTGTTGCATTGGAATTTGTATTTCATAGGGTCTACCTGTAACCAGCATAGACAGTCTTGGTTTAAATGAGCAGGCAAAGACTGTCACATGAAACGACTCTAACTCCAGATAACTGCTTCATTGGTTTCAACAGCAACTCATACTTACTTGCACAGTCTTCTTGTGAAATGTGGTTATTAATACTAATGTCATCAACTGCAATCCCGCCAAGGTTTCCTTTTCCGATTTCGCCCTCAAAAATCACCTAACAAAATGAGATCATTTTCACAGCATTTCAGAGTGAGTCCCAAATATAGCAGTGTTTACAAATGCTTGTTCAGCTTGGGCTATGGCACATAAATTAAATTCATGAGATTTCACATAAGCACACACTTTGCTCATCAATCAATATTTGCTGCTTGGTGATGGCATAAAACTTCTCCTTGTACTCTCTTTTTATAATACCAAATTTAAAGCTGCAAGAGGCAGCGAATAAAAGGCATGATCCATTGTGACAGCCCAGAAATAGATTGTAAAGCAGCATTCTCCCTTCGTTTGCACCAAATTGGCTCTTTTCCTATAGTCTGGGAGCCTGAAATATGCAACTGAGATTACCATCATTGCAGCAATAATCTCAGGTTCACAAAGCAACCGGAATAAGATTTGAAGTGCCTTCTCCTCCTCATATTGGCAGTATTGTTAGCTGATGTGGACTGCATCCCAGCCATGGTGACCCCACAAGTTATGGACTGTAACTGTTACATAGAATTTTCTTGGCTGCTCTCTTTACAGAAGCCTTTTGATCCACTGAGCCTCTATGTGGGTTTGACCCACTATCTTGAGAGGCTTGAAGAAGATAAAAAACTACTTGCAACACCTAGATTCCTCACATTTACATGACTTCCAAATTATTATCTGGCTTCCTGTAGCAACCTTTCCTCCCGACCATAGGTAAAGGATCGTACCTGATAATGTTTCAGTGATTTATGAAGCACGACACGACCTTCCTTCCAGTGATCTCCCTGGTGCCCAATGGCCATCCAGACCAACTGGTCATACTCGTCTGGCTTCTGGTAGTGCAGTTTGACCCTCAGCGTGCCAACATGGGAACCCGACATGTGGTACCAGAAGGTCAGGCAGTGGGCTGAGTTCAGGGGATAGACCACAGGGCTCACCAGACGAGCCACTTTGCCTCTCTGGTTCTCGTCAGCTTGCGAATAGATGAAGTTGCCATCTCCTGCTGTGGCAAAATGAACTGTGTTAGGAGGAATGGCCAGATATACTACTCCTTAATCATGTTCCTTTTAAGTTTTCCAGAGTGAGCAACCAAAAATCCAAAAACATGGTAGAAAGGGAACAGAGCTATTGGGGAACCTCTGAGGCACTTCACTCTCAGCCTTCCTGGGTGGATATTTGATCGGAGAAAGCCTGAAGAAGTACAGCATGGATATGGATAATACTTATTTGGGATCTACTGTCATACGTACAAGGACCCCTTGGTCGTAGAGTGCATAACATATCTGGGTTGTTATTTGAAAGGTTGATAGTTTGAATCCACTAGCTGCTTTTCTCATAAAGATATGCCACCTTAAAAACCCAATGGACCGTTGCTATGAGTCATGACCAAGTAGATGGTATTCAGTTTGACTGGTTTGGGTGGGCCATATGGACAAGGTCAGTCTGCTTTAACACCACCAAAAGTACAGAGCAGACTAAAAAGGATTCCTCTAGAAGTAAAATGCATTTGCATTCAACTTTAAGATGATTTCAGTTCTATCCTTGAATGCCAACATTACATGGAACAACTGAGATGTACTCTTTCTTCTTGACCTTCAGACCAGCAGAATTTCTGGTGGATAATACTTTGGCCACTATACCTGTTTGATAATAAAGCTGCAATTCTGCTAAATAATATAGCAACCGTTGTTTTGTGCCACCTCCTACCCCCAACCCCAAATTTTTCTCCCTAGATTATTTGACGCCATATAGAGCCTTTAAACACACAACTGTCAAGTCTACTCCTGTTCGATGTGGGCTTCTGGTTCAAGGAGAGGCAAGGTTGCACTGTTGAGGCTCATTTAGAATGAGCCATCTCGGCAATGTAGACACTTGCTGATCTGCTAGGACTTACTTGGCTTTGCTTTTAATTACCCGCAGTGGGAATGTTTCCTCCTGCCACCACCTGTTCTAAACACACAGCTCATGTTTCCCTGTTTGCTCTACAAATAGAAATCACCGCCTCTAAAGCCTCACCTGATGTAAGTGTGAATCTGAAGCTCTGGCCTCAATAGGCAGCCGAGATGTTTTGTTTGTTGCCCAAGAGGCTTGTCTATTTGTGAGATGCTTTATCCCTGAGCACATGTGGGCCTGTCCTTGCATCTGCATGCCTGTGTCACCAGAGTCCGTTCAGAAGTGGGAGGTGTTAGCGGGCAGATTTCTTCACTAACCTAGCTGCTTCCACGAGAGTCTTAATTAACACAGCACTTTTAATTAAGCCAGTGAGCGGAATCACAAAAGAACAGCTCAAACTGAGTCGCCGCCCTAGTAGTATGTTCAGTGCTGACTTTGTGAGGTGTCCATCTGTGACCAAGCAGACTCAGTCACTTCTGGGGTTTGTCTTAACCACGTTTACCAAGCCTGGGCTACTTGTCTGTGTGACAATGCCAGTTCACTGATATGAGCAGGGTAGCAGTTTAAAATAATAAACAGAAAAGTAATGATTTTGCCTCTATCTTATCAAATCTTATGGGAAAAGACTGAAATTGGACTTGCTACAGAAGAGGAGCACATTTACTGAGCCCATGAAGTTTATTTAAGATGACAGAGAATTGGTAGGAAAAGGGATGCAAAGTGAACATGGGGATAGACGAAGTTGACTAAGAAGTGTCTCCATCCTGCTGCCGCTACTATGGGCTTTTAAAATGTAACTTATTAACTTATGCTCTGCTGGCCTAGAAGTTGAGCGGCATTCCCAAAGGCATTCAGTTCAAGGCCACCAGCTGCTCCATGGGAGAGGGATGGGCAATCTCCTCCTGTGTGATTTACTGCCTCTGAAAACCTGCTGGAGGGTCAGCTCTTGATTGGTTCCAACTCCATTGTATAGAACAAACCACCACTCAAACAAAATGCAAAACAGCAAAGAAGGAAATTTAAAATTTGACTCTTGGTTACAGTTCTTTGGTGGGTTCTCACAGATCCCAGGCCAGCCACACTCCTCCTCACAGCACCCAAAGCCACACTCCTCTAGCCATGGCACATGGCGATGCTACCTGAGGGGAATCTGTTCAATCCCTTTATGTGCAAGACTCCAATCCCTAACCACCACTGTTCTCTCTTTCCCTTCCCATTCCCTCAGCTTCCTCAAGCCCCAGCTTAGATTGCTTTCTGTTTTCTCTGACTTCTATTTTTAAGGTTTAAATTGTGTCTCCCTAAGAAGCTATCTTGAATTCCTTACCCTGGCACCTGTGCATGCAACCTTGTTTGCAAATAGTATCTTTGGAAGGCGTTATCAGATTGAACTAATCTGAGGTCCTAGCAGAGAAGGGTGGGTCTCCTCAGTCCTATCTGTATGGGGTCATTATAAAAGAGGAGAAGGGACAGAAGAAAAAAAACCAAAAAGCCACAAAAAAACTAACAACAAACCAACAACTGAGGCAGATAAGTCAAAGAACGCCGTAGCTTACCAGAAACCACCAGAAGCAAAGAAGGGGGAAGAAGGATCTCACTCTAGAACTTTCAGAGAGGGAGCATGGCTGGCATATAACTGATTTCAGCTTCCTAAAGCCTCCAGGGCTGTTAGAAAATACAATTCTGTTGTTTCAAACCACACAGTTGATGGTGCTTCGCTGGGCAACTCTAGGAAACGAAGACACTTCCTATCTTATCTTTCACCATCCTTCTTACTCACACATTGGCAGCCCTCACCCCACTCTTTGAAATGGTTTCTCACTCACAACCAGAGTGTGAACTCCTCAAAGCTGGGAGAAACTTTGATACCTTCATCAATACCTTCATCACAAGTCCCCAGGACAGCGGCCATGTGACAGGTCTACCCCAGCCACTGTGTGCAAGGAACAAATGGAAGATTCTAGATGGAAGGAGACCTCTGTGAGACACACTGCTTCATTGTTAGGATCTAAACATAGGACACCATGTGGGATTTGTTTAAGAACAAAATTGGGCAGTAAAATATTTTACCCGGATATTGTTATCTGATTTTTTAAAAAGCAGCAAAACTTATTTGAATATATTACAAACAAGAAGATACATAACAGGCAATATCATTGTATATGTGTGTGTGCCTTGTACACAGGCTCTTTTCATCTGCATCTGCTGCACATGCACAAATTTTTATCTTTCAGATGTTTGGTTCACTCGTCTCTCAGAAGTCTGGTTTTTTTTTTCTGCTAGGGCTGCGGGAGGCGATTTCTAGTAAAGACAGCTTTGGCATGAGAGCTGAGTAAAACTCAGTCTTTTCTTAAGAGAGGACAGCACTTTTCAGCTGTTAATTCAAGCCCCACTTTTCTGATGCCCTGACACATAAAGCCCTGATATTTTATTTCAGGGGGTTTTATCACAGTTCTGGGTCAGGAACTCTGTCTTCATTTTCTCAATTAGCACTTTCCTTCTGTAAGCCTTTTAGCTTTTGTCTCTGGCTAACACAGCTTTTAACCTCCTTTGAATGTCAGATCCTACTGAGCCATTTTGCTTCACTTTGCATCAATTTTTCCACCATTACTGCCTTCATTTCAGCTAATTGCATTTAGTTAATTTGATGCCATTTATATGTACAGTGCCATTTACAGTCAAAGTATTTTAAGTTTTCTAAAACTGCTTGTCTTAAGATTCAATTGAAAGTGTCTCAGAATTGAAGGAGTCCAATTTTATCCAATTTCCTTGTCATTCTCATTAGGCAAGGAGGTAGCCCTTGTGGAAGGAGAACCATCCAACCCACTTAATGGTTACATTCACTGGTGGTGGGGGGAGAGTGAGAAACAAAATGAAAAAGGCATGAGGTATCCTCTGTCCATCCATCGACCCACGGACCCACTCATCCCAAACACCAGCTTTGGGAGAACTTTCCTTAATGAGAATTCTTAGCATCAGTCAATGCTCCTCTGGGGTGTGTTTTAAGAAGCAACTCTTTGAGTAAGCTCTGCTCTGAACACATCACAGTGTAGGGGAGCAGTTTGTGGTTTAGATGCTTATTGTATGCGTGCATTTCTCAAAACACTACTAGTTCTTCTTTGTATGTGTGTGTCTGTTTGTTTTTAGCAAAAGTTTAAAAAGCAAATTGGCTTTTAATTATAATCACAATTTAATAATATTTCCCCACTGTATCCCTATAATTCTCCTTTCCATTCATCCTTCTATCTTACTCAGGGCTTTATCCTAAGGCAAATGCTGCCTTTTTTTACCTTTTATATTTTATTATTCTAGGAGTGAGTACCTCTCTGGTGTCACTTGCCACCTTATAAGCGTGTCTGTTTTGGGGATGAGAACTGAGTCACAAAAATGAGTTTTGTTCTAGGCTCAAAGTATGACGAGGGGCCATAATCTCAGTGGTTCCACCAGTCTCTATTGGACTTATAGGCCTGGTGGTTTCGATATTTTTTAGTTTTGTTCTGCATTTCTGCCATTCACCCAACTGAACCCAGATCCTTCTACTGTGACCCCTTTTAGCAACCTGCTGGTTCTGTATACCATTTCTCAAGTTGCATAATAAAAAGCAGGGTAAATAGCTCACTGGTGTGGTGGTCAATACTTTCTATTACAGTCCATCCACCCTCAGCTTTGGAAAATAAGACTAAACCTAGTCTCATTTTAGTAATGAGAGGAAGACAAAGGAAGAACAGGGTGTGAACTGAGGTGTGGTGAGGACTCTATCTGCTCAGAGGAAATGGGATAGATTAAAAATCTTCCCCTAAATAAGAATCCCAGTCCACCATCTCACTCCTTGTCACAGATCCAGAGAGTGAGCGCTGCTTATGTAGCTGAAAATATAAATGAGAGGACTGTCTGTACGTGTGGCACTGCTTCTGCATAATTATGAATTGGGAAATGTGAGATGATATTGAAAAAAGATTTTCCTCAATTTGATAATTGTTGGTTATGTACTAGAGTTCATTGTACTATTTTGTTTTTTTTTTCAAGATAGTGAGAATATTCCATAATAAAAAGAAAAGAAAAATGAAACAGCTACTTTCCTCAAGGTTAGCCAAAATGGAAATAAAATGAGTTACAGTATATGAATCACTACTTGTTTTATATTTACACATATATATTTTTTTTTAATTTTTTTTTTTTCAGAGCTTCTATACTTAGGACCATTATGGGTTGCAGGTAACTCAATGGCACTTAACAACAACAATTCAGCTTACTATTTTTTTTTTAAAGAAAGGCAAATCATTGGCCACATTAAATAAAATCAGCATTCTTTAGCATTTTGACTTTAGTATAGCTCTACTTGAGAAAAGCTGTTTAGTTGTCACTGAGCTGATTCCAATTTATAGCAACTCGTGAGTAGAGTAGAACCCTCTTCCATCAGGTTTTCAAGGTTGTGATCTTTCAGAAACATACCAACAAGCCTAGCTTTCAAGGTGCCTCTAGGTGAACCACCAACTTTTCATCCAGTAATTAAGCCCTTAACTGTTTGTGCTGCTAGGGACTTACAACAAGACTCTAGAACAAACTAGCAAACAAACAAACAAACAATCTAAGCCAACTGCCACTGAATGAGGTCCACAAAAGAAAAAAAAAAAAACAAAACAAGAGAGTAAATGCTTTATAATATTTTCCTAACAACTTATGTTCACAAGAACCAATAAACCCTCCCCAGGAAACATGTTCTCTGATTTGAAGAACATTTGCAAAGAGATGGAGGTCCACAGTGAGCTCCCCATTACCTGTGTGATCCTGGATTGGGCCAGTTTTGCTGGTTAGCACACTCCACTTGAGTTGCACATGATTGTCATGTTCCCAGTGACAGAAGGTCTTGTGAGAACCCCAGCCAAATTCACAGTTAAAGTCGTATATTGGAAACTCTTTAGTGATTGAAAAGGAAAAACAGAGACACATTTCATCAGTCAGGGTCAGAAGGGCTTTGAATTATTCCATAGAAAACACCATCTAAACAAGTTCTGTTTAAAAATTCTGGGAAAGCTACAGAATTTAAGAGTACCAGGAAATCCAAAAGATGCATGGTGATAGCAAAACATTTGCAAAATTACATTTAGATTTTTCTTTCACTTTAAATCCAGTTTGAAAAAGATTATAGACTGTCTGTCAAATTGGTTTTTCATACAAGTTCCAGGAAGGTTACTTTTGAGAGCATGTATATTACATCTGTCTCTCCCTATTTCTAAAATATTTAATATGAAATATATTCTTGAGGATGAATCATATAAATAGTATCTATCAATGAAAAAAACCCCTCTTCATTAAAGAATGACTCTTGACCATCATAAGTCTAGGAATATGCATTGGCTTTTTGCCTTATCAAGAAGACATAATATAGATTTATCAATTCATTTCTTATGCTTTTGGTTCTAGGGTGTCAGGGTAGACTCTCTGAATTCTTTCTCTTTAAGATCTTTTTTGTTTTGTTTTTATCCTTTTGTGCTTCATATCAGGCCAATTATTTTATGTGTAAGTATTTTTCACTAATTTTAACATTTGCATATAAATTATTGGCCCCACTTAAAACCTCCATGGAAGACCATGATAAAACCACACATAATTAAATAGCCAGTCTTCCTTCTTATTATTGTTTAAAATGTATTCTTTGGAATCTGAAAAGCATGAATGAATTTTTAGGAATGAGTCTTCTCACATGTTCTTCGGTACTATTATTTATGAGAAAAACACAGTTCTGCTGTCTCTCATCAGAAAATGCAATCGTGGAGACAGGGATTGGTCTGGGAAAAGTCAAAGTTTTACTATATGAGAATTGATAGCACTGGGTTTTGATTTGGTGTGATTTATTGTAGTTCTGAGACAAGATCTGGAAGATCTTTATAAAAGCCACTCTAGTTGATTCTGGCCTGAAAGAAGCTTTGGAAATCCAAAGTCTATAAATTTTCATTAAAATAATTAATAAGAATAATAAGAATAGTCAATTTAGCATTCTAGTAGATCTTGTCAGGGAGCTCTGATGGCTTCGTGGTAAGGAATTACACTGTCAATGCCAAGGTTTGAATCCACCAGCTGCTCTGTGGGAAAAAGATGGCAATCTCCTGTGCAATTTATTGCCTCCAAAAACCCACTGGAGCATCAGTACAGGTCAGTTCTGACTTGATGTAGCAGCAGCAGCATCAAGAAGGGAGCTCTGGTGGCCTAGTGGTAAGAAGCTATGCTACAATCCCAAAGGCAAGCAATGGGAATCCACTAGCTGCTCTGTCCTACAAGGATAGGCAATCTCCTCCTGTGTGATTTACTGCTTATAAAAACCTGCTACGAGTGAGTTCCTACTGATGGCACACCTACAGCAACACGCATAAAAAAGGGAGTGATAGTGGCTCAGTAAGGATTTGAGTAGGCAGTTGAATCCACCAGACGGGCAATCTCTTCTTAAATCTCTGTAGGGATAGACAAGATTTTGTAGAATTCCATAATGTTTCTGCTTCCCAGTGGTAGTTTTAGCTAATTGTGTTAAATTTAAAAGCAGTTCTGCCAAGAATTAGCTCACTTTCCTTAAACTAGATTGCCTAAGGTATCTACAGCCTCTGAAAACCTGCTGAAGGCAAGCTGTATGTCAGTTCTGACTCTATAGCACCTAATAGCAGTAGCAGCAGTGGCACAGACAGGCAGTCTGAGCTCCCCTAAGTAATCTATCTCAGCAAGGAAAGGTTCTGAAGGGATATTTTTAAGTTAAATTCAGGATGTGGAAAAGAGCTCATGTTTATTCAGCATGTCTAATGAAAGAAAGATGGGGTTATCATTAGAAAAAGAGAGATAATGCAAATCAGTAGGTGTTATGCAGCTGACTTCCAAGATGGCATCTTTCCAGTTGTCTGTCTAGTCATCTTTGAACCTGCCCTGTATGTTTTCCTCTTTCAAGATGATATCAAGTTAGTTCCTTAGTCATTACAGAACATGCTCTTTAAAGATGGCTGCCTTCTAGAAGGTCATACAGGGACTACTACATGGCACTGAAAATTCTTGGCAGAGTTGTTGTTGAGTGCTATCGAGTCAGAACCGACCCATAGCAGACCCTCCACCACGTTTTCAGAGGCAGTTAATTATCCAGGCGGAGATTGTCCATCCTTCTCCTGTAGGGCCGCCTCGAACTGTAAGCCTTCAGGATTGCAGCACAGTTTCCTGTCACTAAGCCAACAGTGTTGGTGCCTAGACTTCTCTTGTAGAGTGTATTCTTGGACCTTGTGATACCTGCATTTGTTGCATGCTGTCCTTGGTCTAAACTGTCTCAAGCAAAAACATTTTGCTTCAGCACATCATTGTAAAGAGGAAAACAAAACAAGAACATAGATATGAAAGTCTGTGATTCCAAGCAAACTTAGCTGTATTTCAGTTAAAGTTGTAAATAGTTAACTTTTTTGTTTCTTATTCATTGTGTTGCACTGCCAATCCAAACACAGATGGTTCAAATCCACCATACATTGCATGAGAGAAAGACAATCTCCTTCTGTACAATCTTTAGCCTCTGAAAACCCACTGGAGAGTCAACTATGAGTCGGTTCCAATTCAATGGCAATGAGTTGTTTGCTGTTGGATTCTTGCCAGCTGCACTATTTAACTATGGTGGTCTCTTAGAACAATAGCTTTAGTTGACCCCAAACCATTTTATTTGGGGAAAAAAAAATTAAAACATGGGAACCCATACCACCAGTAGTTGGGATTATTTTGGTGAACTTAAGCTGAAAATAAAAACAATTACAAAGATAAAATGGTTATGGTACTGACTGTATCCTTCTCCCTACCCCCCCCCCCCCATGATAAAAGAGAACGGCCACTTTCTTTAACCAAGGAGGGTCAGTACCTCTCATTGAGTTAAGGCAAGCCACAAGATGGCAGCATTGAAGCAAAAAGAAGAAAGGCACCCAGGGCGTCTTGCCAACTGAATTTAAAAATAAACCTCGAAACAAGGCTCCTGCACAATAAAGGAAGCCTGGTATTATATACCGGATTACGGTCAGGCTGAGATCCTATCTTGTTTTGGGCTTTTCTTTAACTTTACCCAAGTGTTTAACACAAAGTAGCTCCCTTTCTCCTCTGAACCCCGCCTCTATTGCTCTTCCTCAGCTTTAACGATGGTATTTGAAAATAATAATAATAATAATGTATTAAATAGAGATGGGGCAGCCTCCCTGATCCCACCCTCACACATGTGTGGTTTTCCATGGAATTGTCTTCAATTGCTAATGGCAGCTTCTGGATGGAACATACCACATGAATTGTCAAAAGGGATCTGGGTGAATTCTTTGCAATGACAACATGAAAAAGGGATCTGGGCGAATTCTTTGCAATGACAACATGAACTCTCAAAGGGAGGACACAGTCAGTTTAGGAAAGCAAACTACTAAGCTAGATGACATACATAATGTGAGTACTTACAGTTAGTGGGAAAGGGCTGTATTTCACAGCTACGATGTCACTGGAGGGATATATTTTATGTCTAGTCTAGCATAACCATGAAATAAGACTTCTTAAAGCATGAGAAAACCTCTCCAAAAATTTACACATTTTTGCACAGGAAGATTGAATTATGCAGATGAAGTACAGCCAAGTGAACACTGACTAAATGGCTGAGTGACCTTGGATGTCACCCGTCCAAGTAACTGGAATGTACTGTTGCATAATCTGGTTAGAAAATGTTAACACTGAGAAATGGTAACATGTGTGTGGAGGGGGAGTTGTTTTGTCCCCGAAAGTACACTTTATAAGCTGTGCACATGCAGAGAGCAACAAGCCATTACAATACACACATTTCTGGGTGTTTTTACCTTGTTAACTACATCTATTGCAGAATACTAAAAATGGTGTTGTTTATTATTTGGCTATTCAAATGCTTTTAATAGCCAATTAATTTTATCAATATAATACTCCACAACTCAACTCATTGCTGTAGAATTGGAACTGACTCATAGATGACCCTGCGTTGGGTTTCTGAGGCTGTAAATCACATGTCAGGAGACTGACCATCTTTCTTCCAAGGAATCATTGGTGGATTCAACCCATCAGAGAGGCAAGGCCTTTGAGTTAACAGTGCAGCTCCCTATGGACTACACCATGAGAGCTCCTTATATAACAGTCAATTAATAACAGTGATATCACAAAATCATAAGAACTTGGATATTTTCATAAGGACCAGGGCACAGGATGGCTTTGCCCAAAAGGATGTTTTAGGCATTTCTTCTGACTGCAGTGAATAGTAGCTGGTCTTTTACTACGTCCTCAAGCCTGCAAATTTAGCAAAGCCGACTGCTCTAAAGTTCTGTATCTTGCCACTTTTAAATTTTTTAATCTTTTCATCTCTGATCATGTGACTTATGATGATTTTATTTTTTTAAAATGCATTTTGATTACTGAAATTTAAACTATGACTTGAGGCTCCTTCCAGATTTTTTTTTTATTCCCAAAGCAGTACTTTTTGCCTCATTACCAGAACTGTTTAAAATATAAATGTTAAAAGAACTCTTTTAATCTTTGTTGTTGCTGTTATGTACCATGGAGTGAACACTGACTCAAACCTGACCCTCCAGTGGGTTTTCAGAGGCTGTAAATCCCACAGGAGGAGGTTGCCCATTTTCTTCATCAGAGTAGGTGGTGGATTTGAACCGCATATGTTTGCGTTGTCAGTGAAATTCCTTACTACTAGGCCACCAGAGCTCCGTCTTTTAATCTTTAGGCACAGAGTTTTTGTGGGTTTTTTTTGTGTTTGGTTTTTTTTTTTTAGGTCACATAACTATTCTTGTACATAGATTTGACATTGAAATTTTAAAATGGAATAAATCGCTTATGACATTGTTTTTAAAATGACCTTTTGTAGGGGAGTGCAGTGAGTGAGTATTTGATGTTGAAAACTCCACACTGGCTTGAAAGGCAGTTAAATGTACAAACATCTATAAACACTTAAATTTAAGAATGAGAAAACTAAGTAGAAGAAGAGAGGGAGAATAAGAAAAGAGAGTGGGGAGAAAAACAAAGAATCTAATGAAAGAAATATACAAGACTATTGACCTTTAAATCTTCAAAAATATTACCTAAGTCCTGGAGCTGCACAGCTCTCATTAAAGTCAATGGGAATAATCTGGTTAAATCCCTCCTTGACTCTTAAAAATAGCAGGAAACAATATTCTGAACTTAAAACAAATTTATAGTCTCTGTGAGCAAGAACCAGCTGTGTGTGTGTTGAACCTCTCTTGCTTGTGGTTGAATCATTAACACTCTATGTGCATGAGGATTTAATTTTTAAACCTGGTATTTCAAATTTCTATGGACTGTGGTAACTCCCTTACTAATTGGCTGGTCTCTCAGTTCAAACTAGTGGAGGTGCTGAGATCATGTAATCAGAGGTCAGGGACACATAAGCCGCTCCAGCAGTGTTTGAAGATCATCAGAGTATAAGAGGTCCGACAAGGGATAACGGCATTAAAATGCCAGGATTCTCCTCTGTTCCTGGCAGAGCATTAATAGACTTTTATGCACCTGATTACAACCTAGACAGTATGTGAATATTACCTACCCACTGGGTTTATGATATTGCTAAGAATCCTCAAAATGAAATCTTGAGACTGCTTGAGGGAGCTCTAGTGGCTGTGTGGTAAGGGTATGTGCTGCCAACTCAAAGGTAACGTGGTGTGAATTCATCAGCTGCTCTGAGGGAGAGGGCTGGGCAATCTTCTTTGTGATTTACAGCCTCTGAAAACCCACTACAGGGCCAGCTGTGAGTTCTGATGGCACACAACAAGGCTCTGTCTGGGTCTACATGGTTCCAAGCAACTTGGGTGAGGATGTCAGTTGAGGAGTGTGGTTTGCTGCTGGTGGTAAAGATACCAGGAGAATCAGGAGCCGAGAGAATGGTGCAGATTATATCGAGGTTGGGCAGACAGATGACACACTCACTGCTAACCAGCAGGCCAGAGGTTCAAGTTCATGCAGAGATGCCTCCTAAGAAAGGTTTGACAATCTACTTCTGAAAAACCAGCCACTGAGAGTCATGTGGAGAACAGTTCTACTCTGACACACTTGGAATGGTCCTGAGTTAGGACACCATACCGAACAGAGTTAGAGTGTGTGTGTGTGTGTGTGTGTGTGTGTGTGTGTGTGTGTGTTGAAATGCTGGTCTCTGAACACCAAGCCGGCTTAGGTCCTCAAGTAAGGCCCCAGCCCTGGCTTAGCTGGGAAACAACAGTGAATAGAATTCCTCGGAAGAAAGTCAGATAAACCAATGCCCACAATTGAAGGCTTGGAGCCCAGATTCATGACTCAGACAGTGGAAAAACTGTTAGGAAACCAAGCTGATTTGTAAAGGATTCTGTGCTGACTGTGGAATTCAAAATGAACCAGACCACCCCTCTCTCAGTAAGCCATGTGGTCTGAACTGAATTTGTTCAGATGGTGGCAGAAACGGTTCTTCCTAGTGAGTGATTTCTACACCACAGTCTACCTGTGGCGATAGTAGACACTGTGAGATGATTAACTGGCCCTGCAGTTCCTTTCTGAAGCCATTAAATTAATGACCTTGAGCATATGCCCAAATCAAGCATGTTAACAAAGTCATTCCTGCCTTACCAACATTCAGGGGACAACTATCCAGAGTCTACAACTTCCCATTTCCTCTATAGCTGTTCCTTGGTTTCGACTATTTTAAATGATACCTAGCTCTCTTAACAGGTAAGGAGGAGAGATGAGATGAAACTTCAATGGCAACTTCATAGTGGCTTTAAGGAATTCTCTGGCAAGAATAGAAGCTCAAGCAAGAGTTGAAATATTTGTTACAGTCTCAGAAGTCCTGGTATTCATCTTCCTCCCTCTTTCCTATTACAAAGACTTGTAGTGAGCCAGGTGGCAGTGACTATTCTTTTTCCACATAAAACCACCTTGAGGGCAGAGAACTACTAGAAAATAATAGGCAGCTTGAAGAGGGTTCCACTCAAGGGCTTATTGTTGTTACTGTAGAGCTGGCCCCCAATTCTTAGCGACTCCATGCACAGTAGACCAAAAACACTGCTGGGCCCTGTTCCCCAAGACCACCTGCAGATCAGATCATTGTAGTCCACACAGCTGTTCAGTGGTGGACTTTTAGAAGTAGGTCACCAGGCCTTTCTTCCTCATCTGGAAGCTCTATTGTAACCTGTTCAACATCAGAGTGACTGCTAATAGGAATCAACTCCCAATTCTCCTCCAGCTTTGTAAGGAGGGCACCCAATCTCTAAGTCCACCTTTCCTAATTTAGAAGGATGCATATGGGAGTATGGGGCTTGGGGAATTTAGGTAATTACTCTGTTTTATTTTTTTTTGGACAAGGAGGAGTGTTTGAGTTTAGTGGTGTAGGAACTGTGTCAGCCTAAGCACACTTCAGGGAAATTTGGGGTTAAGTTCAGCAGCTGAGAAGTTTGTTTTGCAGTTTAATCAGGTCAACAGTGACAGTGTCCTTTAAGGAAGCATACTAATTAGAGCCGTCCTTTCTACTTTCAGCCTAGCTGGGTAGTGTCACGCTGTTGAGGAAACATTGATATACACCACACGCCCCATTAATAAATGACTGTGAAGGCCAAGGCTCAATGTGCTTCAATAAAGGAAATGGGAGAAGCAGGAAAACTGACCCGTTCACCTTACTCTAATGATTAAAGTATTTAAAACCTCTGATTGCTTCTACTGACTGTTTCCCCTCCTTGTGCATCTGTGGGGAGGAATTTCACAGAACACTGACAGAAAACAAAAGGGGGAGGGAAGGAGACCACTGGCTAACCATGGCTGGCCTGTGGTAAACAGCAGAGCAAGGACTTTGGAAGTCATTATGCTTGTCTGTTAGTAAAAGGATGAGGAGGCACCGCTCCTGAGAGGCCTCCATGCCGGGTGGGCAATAACAGCCTTGGTGCCCTGAACCCCATGCCGGGGACCGCCCACTGCAAAGGCTCTGATACAAGTGCCAGCTTGGTGGCAGGCAAAACGGACACGCTCTGCCTCCCTCAATGCTGCGGGACTGTGATGAAAATAAATCGTAAGGGAGAATGCTGCCTGGGAGATTTCCTTCTCCTATAGTTTGCAAACACAGTCCGTGTCCTAGATGTGCTGCATTTAAACAAAGTATGTTACTCAGTTCCTTCAGTCGCGAGCTGGAATTGTCACCATTTGGCAATTACTGATGGAGAAGGGAATCTCACTCTCCCTGCTGCATATACATGTGGATGGAAGAAAAGAAATATTTATGGCTCACGCTTGGAGACCAGATGCTGTGTGGCATCCCTCCTTCTAGGACATTCACAGAAACTGAGAAATTTGAGAAGCAAGATAGTATTCTAGTTTGGGGGGTGGTGGGGTGGTTTGAGTGGGGAAATATGCATAGAATCAACCAAATTCTTTATTTACCTGATTGTATTGTGCTGTCTATTATTGTTGGCTTTTCTGTGGTCAGCACTGTGGTACCTCCTGAAAAACCAATCAAAAGAAAACCATTAACATGCAAAATGAGGAAAAAGAAGCACATCATTTGCAGTACAGATACTTTGTAGGTTACATGCACCTAATAAAAGCAAAGATTTTCCATAGAACATTTTCCCTTTAATTCTTGCTATCGTACTTATTTCAATTTTACTCACCATAAGTATAAAATTCAAATAAACCACAGTTATTTTACATATTTTTCAAACCACACATTTCTTCTAAAGCATGTAGGCAGCGTGGAGAGGTTAAAAATTTGTTCCAAGGACACTCATTGATTCTGCCTAAGCCTGGTATACCACTGTAATGGCAAAAAGCAAGGGCCTCTGAAAATCCCCAGCAACTTGGGTATTAAACTTGACCTCTACCTCTAAGCTTCAAATCAGTTTCCAAGGTTTCAGATGTGTGCCTTCAGGGGAGCTGCAAGCCTAGACCCCACAGTCTATTTTAAAACGGAACATTTAAAAGTGAATGACAGTTATTCCTTCCTCTCCCCCATTTTAAACTCTGCTTTGGTTGCTTCTTTTTCCCAAGGTCAAACATTCTGCCCAGTATGTGGTTTGGAGAAGATGCAAGAGGCAGCAGGAACAGAGGAAGAGGTGAAATATTTATTCCTTCATCATCCCAAGGAACTTGAAGATTGAGCAAGGAGCAAACAGAACTTCCCATCATGAAATTTGGATGCATTTTGAAATTCCCAATTCGGAAGACAGGAAGTAACTGAACCAAGCTTTCGTTTTACCCTCTATTTTGTGAGCTCTGGTGACCCAGTGGCAAGAAAAAGCATGTGGTTCAAGGCTACCAGCTGCACCTCAGGAGAAGGATGGGTAATCTCCTCCCATGCAATTAACTGCCTCTAAAAACTTACCAAAGTGTCAGCTATGGGTCAGTTCTGACTCTACGATATGCAAGAACAATTCTGTGACTTAGCCCTTCTACACTAGAAAGAGCCTTTAAATAACGATCTTGAGAATCACCTGTAAACTGATGGAGACGGCAGATTCTTTTCCATCTACCTGTCAGTTGTCCCGTTGTGGCTTGCATGTTGCTCTGATCCTGCAAGCTATGACACCAGTATTTCAAACACCAGCAGGTTCACTCACAGTAGACATGTATCAGTGGAGCTGCCAGACTAGTGCGGACAAGGGTAAGAGGCTTGCTGACGCACCTCTGCAAACTAGCTAATAAAGCCCAGTGAATCACAACAGAACTGTGTTCTGTTTGTTTTTTTTTAATATATCACCCATCAAGAGGGATCACTCACTGGAAGAAGTAGTCATCATGTTTGGTGAAGGAGAGGGGCAATGAGTGTTGGCGAGACAGATTGGCACAATAGCTGCAATGATTGACTTGAACCTGTTGGTGAGGATGGTACAGGCCTGAGCAATGCTCCCATTCTGTTGTCCAGAAGATGCTCCATGTGTCATTCGCAAGGGCCCCATGAGCCAGAGTTAGTTGATAGGTGCTTGCATGGCCTCTATCTATTGAACTATTTCTCCATCTCGTCTACATTAAACCTAACTGAAAGCCTGAATTTCTAAGTGGATGGTCTTGTAATCTGTACTTTTTGAAAGCTTTCAGCTCAGATTTAGAATCTATTAAGTTTGTGAAATACTGACTTGATGTTTATTATTTAGGGGAGAGAGTCATTGTTCCATATGTGCATTTATTATGATGTAACCTGGACTACGGTAATCAATGTCCTCAAGAGATTAAACACAGAACTGATTCGGGGTGAGGATACACAGTGAGCCCACGATGCTCAGGGAGGCTCTCTGAAGGTGCTGTTACTCTTTTCCTTCAATAGCATCATTCAACGGGGCTGTGTGATCATTTTTATCCTGGCCAGGCCCTTGTCTCTAACTTACAGCTCCCGCAGACATGCAATCAGGCAACACATCCAGATCATGAATAAGAGTGCAGGAACAGTCATGTCCTTGGAATGGTCTTAAGATTCCAGAGCTGCACATCAAGTCCTGCCTGCTGCAGCTGCATGCCCAGGAAATGTGCAGGATGAGCGGACACATAGGTGCCAGCCTCAGAGAGGCAAGTACTGGAAAAGAATATATATATAATATAAAATATCATATCATGGGTTAAAAAGGTGAATCTATAATGGCAGAATTGGAGGGAGGCCAGAATACATTAGCATTCTCCTCTCGGTGGCCTTATAGTAGAAAGACTCAAGGTGAAAATTCCCTTTTTTAAAACCAGTCTGCATTATCAGTTTTTGTGAGAGGTGGGAAGCCAAATTCTGCTGTTGGGTACACACAGCTCCAAAGTGAAATTCAGCCTCCTGGTGCCTTTGAAGCCAATTGTATTATCCAATGACTTCAAAGGCATTTGCAAATGAGTAACTTCAGGGGTGAATTTTCACCTTGGCAAGCAAGTACATGCACACAAAACCCTAATTTCCATGCATTTGGTGCTGTTCACCTGGAATGCAGAGTTGTTCTCTGTTGGCAACAAACATTTTGCTCCCATTCTATGTACAAATAGGTCACCCCAGGAGGAAGAATGAAATCAACACCATCTGTGTTAAAAAACTAAAAACCACTAAACAGCACTGAATCCAGTTTCCATGTTCCCACCAATCAAGGTTAAAGTGAGAACGTGCATTGGTTTGGTTTCCCTATTCTAACCGCCAATGTCTCTGTGGCTCTAATCATAAAGTCTAGGACAGAATTAGCAGAGAGAGTGCAGTTCCTGGGTGAGCAACAGGAAGCACCTTGTTTACAAGTAAAGAGGCACCTGGTTAGGTGAGCTTTTGGCTCCTTATAAACATTTCCCCTGCAGCACGCCAGAGAAGGATAACATGTAGCTTCATAGGTCATAGTTTCTTTCTTTTTATTTTTTTTAAAAGAACAAATTGCACTTAGTGTGATAAATGAAAGCCTTCTAAATTTACCTTAACTTTACAACCCTCCAGAGGCTTTCCAAAGGTTTATGTGTTTATAGAATGATTGACGGAGCCTTAGTGGTGCAATGGCTACACATTCAGCGGTTAACTGAAAAGTGCTGCTGGAGAAAGACTTGGCCATGTACTTTTATAAAGGTTACAGTCTAGAAAACTGTCTGAGGAAGTTCTACTTTGTCACCTGAGATTATTATAAGAGATTTGATGGCACACAGCAATACAGAAGTATTGAGATAAATGTGCTGGCCTGAGAAAATAATGTTTTATAAAAAACATATACATTCATTGTCTATGAGTTGGAATAAGCTCACAGCTGACCTTCTATTGAGTTCCTGACACTGGAGGCTGCTGGTGGGTTTGAACCACCAGAGAGCTGGCCTTTAGGTTAGCAGCACAGCTGGCTAAGGACTACCCCACGAGAGCTCTATGTTATTGCTGTTGTGTGCCAATGAGTTGAAAGCAACTCATAGTTGACCTTCTGGTAGGTTTTCAGAGGCTGTAAATTGCATGGGAGGAGACCGCATAGATTTGAACCACCTGACATTGGGTTGGCAGTATAATTCCTTACTAACTAGGCCACCAGAGCTCCCTACCAGAGCTACAGTAACAAGTAAAAATAAGAAAGGCCTGGTGATCCACTTCCTAAACTAGCCATTGGCAACTTGATGGGACACATTTCTACTGTGACACACATGGAATCGTCATGAGTTAGAATCAACTAGATTTGGAATCAACTAAATTTTTTTGGTTTTGTTTTTGGGTGTGTTTTGGGTTTTTTTTAAAATATGTTTTAAAAACTGGAATGATGTTTTTAGTTTATGTAAGAAATGATTTTAAATGCTATCTATAAAGCGAAACCTTGTACTTTTATAGGGATATCAGTGTTTCCACTATAAAGGACCCATTTTCTGTGGTTTGTAACTCGTTGCCATACACAATTTGCTCCGGGCTAAAATACTTGCCCTATTTCATTCAAAGGCTTCAGTTTCAATTGCTTCAGTCATGAACTAATGCAAAAATGAGGAGGTTGGTTGTTCTGATATGAGGAGTAAATCTGAGGCTTTGTTTCTAATCAATATTAACTGACCACTTTAGGGTTTAATGAAGAAAAGAAACCCTTGCACAAGATGGTAATTGAAAAGAATGCACTGTAGTCATTCCGTTTTATGAGGAATTTCACTGCGGATGTGTGATGAGGTCCACAGAAAGCCAGGGGTCTGTGGCAGAGCATTTACGGGCCATCCCAGGAAGGTTCCAAAGGACCTGGCTCATGCAATGGTTCTCTGGTTTAGTTTGTGATGGGTTTGTTTTGTTAACAGAATTGGAGATGGGAGTTTTTCACCTTGAACTTGATGTTTTACATGAAAAATGCCTTTGCATTAATTATAGTAATTTTTTGTTGCTATTTACAAATAAGATTTGCATTCAAGAGTTCACAGCAATGTAACATTTATTGTCTGTGTGAACATAAATAATTATCCTGAAAATCTGCAGGTAGGCAATATTAGAAAGCTGGGATTTGAATGTAAAGTTAAGATATAGTGCTAAACTTCTTGATTTTCCCTGTGTTTTGTTTTGTTTTTACTCAGTATCCTATCTGAAAAAAGCAGAAGTCTTTTGCTCCTTCAGAGGAGAATTTTTGAAGGGATCAGAAATGTATTAAGGGATAAATATTGCTGGAGATTTGCACAAATATCTTAGCCAATAACATGGCACTACTACAAAGCAACATGGTCACACCTTCAGTTTGCTCCACGGAAATTAATTATGTTGGCTCTCTGAGTTCCATGTGAATGAAAATATGGACCTGAATGCAAGAGCTCATATTTAATCTCAGAGGTTTGAGATTCCTAAAATAAGAGTCAGATGCTGTATGAAACGGCATTCTGACCCACATAGCTGTAAGGTCCCGTGAAAGATTTTGCAACAATAGGGTGAAAATCCTCATGCCCTGGCCAACTTCCAAATGGTATAATCCCATTTCCCCACTTGCCTAATACTTCCTCTGCCATTCCAAGTGGAAGAGAAGGTCATTTTCTAGCGTGCAGCGCTTCAGAACATTATAGACGGAAACCCTAGAGTAATGAGTGAGATTTTTGGCACACTCCATTTCTGATGTATATGTTCCTTGGTCGTGATGTGAAGCAACAATTCTAATGTGAAAAATAGTTTCTAAAATCGTCACTTGAAAGCTGTATTTCAAGTGCAAACCTGGCTGCAGCAATTAGATCCATAAAGGGTCCATTCAAAGAGCTTTGTCCTATTTAGAAAAGAAAAATCACCATTCTAGAGCGTGTGGTTGCATTAAAACAAGGCACGGAATGGGGGCAGGTGGAAAGGGTGAGGTGAGGGGGGAAGATGAGTTTAACACATTTATTTAGCCAGTTCCCACTGATTTGACTCGAGTCATGGTGAACCCATGTGCATCAGAGAATGCTTGTGCTCACAGACTTTCCAATGGCTGATTTTTCCCGAGGAGAGAGATCACCTCTCTTCTGAGGCATCTCTAGGTGCACTTGAACCAATACTCTTGTAATTAGGTCACGTGTCTAACCCTCTGCAGAACCCATGAACTTCATTTATTTCTTTATATTGTGTTTTGAGTGGAAGTTTGCTGAGCAAATTGCTTTTCCATTCAACTATCCACACATTTTGTTTTATGGCATTAGTTGCACAAAGGGGCTTTGGCCATGGAGAAATTCTTAGTCAATAGTCAAGCTCTTTGGCTCTGAAAATGGCCAAAATGCTTATGTTAGTTGGCTGTGAATGTTAAGAACAATTCCTTTACATGGGTGACATGAGCGGAATGATGACGTGTGTCCTGGCAAAGCTGCGTCTATTGCTAGGGTAGCTCTTGGGAAAGCTCTGATGGCCCACAGCTCTGAGGAAAGAGTCAGGCTAGCACAAACAGGCATCAGCTGGTCCCCACTAGGACATGAACTAAAATGGCACAGCAATGGGATGAAGATGAGTTCTGCACCTGTGAGTTGGAAGTCATCACCTGTTCCACTGTGGCAGTTGGCCTGGTCATCGTCACATTCATCTACTAGGTTCGCATTGGGAGTGGTGGGTCCAGCTGTAGGCACTGAAACAAAAAATCCAAGGGTTATTCTCTCTTACCTCAGAGATGGATTCTCAAAGTCCTGGCTACTGAATCTGCTAACAGCTTTACAGAAACCCTCAGCCTATGCAGAGCAGGCCTGGGGCATGCCTTGCCTCTCCTTCAGGAAACTACTTAGAGTTTGTAGAATAATATATCAGGGAACATTTTGTTTGGGTAGTTGATCCCTATCTGCTGAGTAAATTGACTGCCTTAGCATTTTATTAATCGTTATCTACGTAAGCATTCTTACTGTTTTGGAAAGCTCTTGAATGTTGGCTGGTATTTATTCATGACCTTGGGTTGGAGAAGGAGCCCCTACTAACACTAAAGAAAAGGCTGGCAGTTTGAATCTTTGAGGATAGTGAATTTGCTTGGACCATCTTGCCTTTGATTTTCAAGGTGCTAGAGAGAACTGGCTTGCTGTGAATTCTTTTCTGGATTTTGTCTTTATTAAGTTGTCTAAAAGTATGTGGCTAATAAGATTATTTCCCCAAATGGAAGTCCCACTCATTTAGTGCAATGCTGTTCTTTTTAAAAGTCATTCCACTTCCTTTTAAGTAAGCTTTTCGACCTGTACTCCCTCAGTTCAGGGCAGGTGTCTGAGAGGAACTGTCTCAGAGCTCCGGGGGTCACTTTGCCTTGACTCCCATCGGATTGCATTCCACTCGCTGGCATGTATTCTCCTATCTTTGAATTTGTAGTTGAAAGGTAGCCCAACATTAATCAAAGACTGCTTTTGAAGTTTTCTACATTTAGTTCAGAGTATTCTCTTTTCCCCAGCCTGTTACTCATTTTTGCAATCTGTTTAATATTTTACAGTTTTCGGCATTACATATCACTTTACAAGACTTGAGATAATGGACATATCTCTTGATGTTAGGGAACCAGACAAGATGTCGGGAGTGGGGAATGGAGGGTCCTGCTCTTACAGGTTTTGGCCAGTAGGAATTTTCTGGTTACTGTCACTTTCTTAATTAAAAAGCTGACACTGGTTGTTACTGTGATTAACTATAGAGCAGAATTATAACAAACATCGAAGTGCACATAAGTTTCAACTCCCTCACCTCCCTAGATACACACACTGGTAAGAGCTAGATCACCAAGTACAGACCACAGGCATAGCCTTCTGGCATGCAGTTCAGACTTTGTCAAACACAAACATGTGTATTGTGGGTTTTCCTCAGTGATGTAACTGAATCAATGGCCACGCCAGTTGTCTTCTCTGAACTGCCCTTATTCTCAATAATGTCCTACTTTTCATGAGATGGAACAGACTTGATGACACCTACTTTGGTCTTGGTTTATCTGCCTTGCTGGCTTCTCTGCACCCCTTAGATTGCTTATAAGAAGGGTCCCACCTTGGAAATGGGATGAGGCGAAGCCTAGATTGAACAATCAGAAAGCAAATGAGTACTGCTTCCTAATTTTGCCATTTGAAAAGACAGGAGTTCTCCAATTGTTTCCTAGCTCAGCACAAGATGACAGCTCAGGGAGGGTGGGCTGTCCCTTATCTTTCTGCATCCCTCCAGATGCCTCCTGTAGGACAAGGCACAGAGAAGATATTTATTAAGGGCCTGTCAACTGACTGGAGGGAGAAGAGAAGTGGGCTCTTTCGCCAAGTGGGTTAAAAGTTTTGGCATTTCTTTCCTGGATGTTGGTTTTTAGATGGCTTGGGGGCAACTTCCTCACTTCTGTCAGTCCTTGGACACATCTGCAGGCAAATCACTTCGCCAACAGTTCCTACCTCACTACAGAGTTTACACTGGCAAAATGCCACTGGGCTCAGGCTTTTCAACGGTCCATTCACTCCACCTCCTAAATCAGAGTTTCTTTCCAGAGCCCAACTTAAGGCCCACATCACAGCACCAGACCCCCTTTTCCAGATGCCCACATATCCCAGGAAATTGAATGAACATGTCTGCAGTTGGTTCAACCTGCCCGTCCTTTCTTTTTCTTGGCATTTTTGCCAAAGCCCTGGCACGGGATCTCTCTTGGTCTGTGCTGATAACAGATAACACAGGGGTCTGGGACATGATTACAAGTATGGAAACAATGCTGGGGTAAAGAATGGGAGATAATGGCCTGGTTTTAAATAAACACATAGAAAAGTAATTCTGAATTTATTCAGTAGTGTAATGATTTATAGGCTATGGTTCTATGGTGAAAAAGAAAAGGTTTATGACATTTAAAGTTCTCTGGGATGTAATTATATTTGGGTAGCTCAGGACAGGAATAATTTTGGAAACCAAAGGAAGAAGGTGATATTAAAAAGCATTCTTCAAAAAAACTATGAGCGTATGCTTAGCTGATTAACATCTGGCTGCCAACAATAGCCATTCTCTTAGCTAACATGGAGAAAGATCTCTGTGGAAATGAGAAGACTGGGAGAAGGTTACTCATTGAGCTCAGAAACTAAGGCAGATGGGGTTTATAATGCACGAGATGAAAAAATGCTGTGATAAGCAAGCATCATACTACTTTCTCCAGCATGTAACTCATTCATCATATGCTAAAAAAAAAAGAAAAAGAAAAAACAACTACCACCACCACCACCACCACCAACAACAACAACAAAAATGAAAGGTGGATTTAACCCTGAGGTCAGTGTGGGAACTGAATTTATTCTGCATGTTACTTTCTTTTCCTAGCCTAAACTGATAATGTCTTATCTTTAAACCTACTTCTCAGTCTTTTGCTAACCATCATCATAGATAAAAGTTTTGTTTCCCTGAAGCATCTTAGAACAGACATCCAAAATGCTGTCTTCACATCCAAAATGCTGTCTTCATGCCTCAGCCTATCCAGTGCTACTTCCTTGTATGCGATTGTTAGTCAACATCACAGACATGGGCTTGGACAAGAAACAGATCTCTAAGTGGTAAAAATGTCCACAGAGGACATCTCTGTATCTCAAAGGAGTTATGCAAACAGGCAAGAAAAGAATGTATGGATGCATAATACGTACTAGAGACAGGACCAGCCAAGAGAAAAAGGGGAGGGTTTGTGACAATAGCACCAGCAGAGCATAAATGCACAGAGAAGAAAATAACATAAGAAAACCTAGAGAAATGCAAGGGGCTCTGAAAACGCAATTACCTTCCACTTCACAGCCCAGCAACTCCATCCTTAGCCCTAGTCCGCTGTGAGTGGCTCTCTCGGGGTAGATCCTGATGAAGCGCGTGGAGAGAGGTGGAAAAGTTCTCAGCTCAGGTGTGTCGTAGTTGTTGTTGCCCTCGAAAGACTTTGAAGCATGAAAAAAAAAAACCACAAAAAAACACAAAAACCAGAAAGCACTGGTTATTAAGGCAGACAAGATGACCTCCCTTCCAGTAGTTGTTTCTTCCGTCCTTCAGGACTTTAATTAGGACAAAGAAACAGACCTTCCTGTACTACTTCGTAAATGGCTGGCATTTCTTTCATAAATGAGAAAGGGAAAGGGGAAGCAATTAAAAGCTTCTTTCCCTGAGAAGTGACAGATGTCAATTCTCAGAAACTTCTGTACATAGGGATGCTATCCCAGAAGCTGAGGGTTTAATGAGACACGTTTTTAAATGATATGCTGATGCGTGCCTTGGTAAAGTGACACTTTTATCACTTCCTTGAGGTGGAGGGAGATAACTCAGGAAGAGAACCTGCCAGTTTCTAGAGCTTATAATAGACACCCGTTATATTCTCTTAAAGGAGGGTCCTAGTTTTGAGAAAATGTGATCTGAAAGAGAGGAATTAAATTCCTGAGGTAAAAGCTAGTAAATTTAAATTAAACCAAAAAAAAAAAAATCAAAGAATTCTTAAGTCCATACTGACACATGATTACACAGAGTGTCAGAGTGAAACAGAGTGTCATAGGAATTTCAATGGCTGCGACATTTAAGTAGATCACTGGCATTTATTTCCAGTTCTTTTGGGTAGATTTGAACTGGCAACTTTTCAATTAACAGCCAACTGCTTTACTCTTTGTGCCATATAAGTAGCCTTACAATATATGTTATTTTTAAGTTGAGTTATTGCAACTCACTGAAATTGATGTTTAAGATGTACCTACCATTTTGAGGCATTTGTAAATTAAAAACACAAAACAAACAAAAACCCACATAGCAAAAAAACAAAATATCTTATCTCAAGAATGTAACAAGTGTCCTCACCTATGCTCTCAGAGGAGATAAACTGCAATTTAAAAAATCTGCATTTTTTTGAAAGTATATTCTGAGTTTGAATCACTGTAACTTTTCTGGGGAAAGCAGCAAAGGCTACCCATTGTTGTGTTACTGCTAGACTGTTTTGTTTCTCCTTTTTATATTGAGAGGAAGATCAAAATTCTTCAGTGTACTCATTAGAAAGTGCAGCTTATTTTCTTTTCTAGTGAAAGGCTTGTTTCCTTTCCTAGAATTGGATAAGCTTCCCTGTATCCTCTTCTCCCAACACCATTGTTAATCACATCCAACATAAGAGAGAAAGAGAATTAGGAAAAGCAAATTATCTTATCATTGGGAGTGTCTTCTGTATAACAAACATCCTATAGTTTATAGTTTATAGTTGACATCATTGTTCAAAGCTCCTCATAATTCCTTTAGTCCTTAAAACAGCTCCATGAGCTACGTTCTATGATTACCCACAATTTAGAAATGAGGAAATGAAGGCACAAAGAGGTTAAACAATTAGCCCACGGTCATGGAGATTGTAAGAAGCAGAGCTAGGATTTAAACTTTGGTATCCAAACTGGTACTATTAACCTCACTTCAATGATACTGATGTTCTTTGAAATTTACTGGTCTAATCTCATTTTAACAGACGAAAACAATGAGGTCCAAGACATGTCTATGCCCAACATCATACATATATTTTCATTATTTTTGCTATTGTTTAGTTTGATGTACTTTGGCTGCCAATTCTGGTTGAATAGATTGAGCAGATGGCCAGTCTAAGACCATGTTGATCAAGAGTGAGAACCACACTCAAGAACTGGGTCAAAGAAAGCACGCTTACCCAGCCAAAGGGGTATTCATTCAGCAGTAGTAATATCATGAGGTAATAGTGTAAGTGGAGACAGACAGATTGGATAGGTGGTTGTGTAAACAACCAGGGGTTTTCCAAGTTCAAGCCAGTTAAGCAATTGCCAGTGAGTTGACTTCTAAGGTGACGTCTAGCAGCCCCATGTGTGCACAAGTAGAATTATGCAGCGTATGGTTTCCAGAGGCTGATTTTTTAGAAGTAGATCACCAGGTCTTTTTCCTGAGGCACTTTTGGGTAGGCCTGAATAGCCAAGTTTTTGGTTAGCAGCCAAGTGTGTTAACCCTCTGTACCACCCAGGGACTCCTTCCAAATTCAACAAGTAAATTAATTGGATTTCTTCAACCCAGAGGCACTTTCAAGGAATCTAAAAGTATATGAGTAACATAGATCTGCTTCTCCCAATTAAAATTTCCTTCTATTTTTTTTTTTCCTTTTAGAAGAGTATTCTTTTGATAGAACGACACCCTTTTGATAGAACTGCATTTGCTGCCAGTAATTGAGAATCTGACATATATTATTGTTAGGCCCAATTAAATTGTTGTCAGTAAGATACTAATTATAATGAAAATACCATTACTACACATGTAAGTTTTGCCTACATTAACATAACTTTAAAGATCACAAGAGGAAAAAAGCATTCCTATCTTTGGAATCCCAGACTCTTTCTTAATTTTCACTTGAGGGAAGAATTAACACAAAGTAAATACATTATAAAAGCTGACAATGATTAGTTCAGAAGAATATTAGCAATGAAAGGCCATATGGAATCAAGTTAAATTTGAAAACATCTGATTGCTTATGAATTATCTTTGTGTTATTTCACTAATCACTTTTTTTTAGAAGAGCTTAAATTGTTTGCATCCTCAGTCTGTTTCTTAAATGACTAATTAATTCAGAGAACTCTGATCTACCTGATCCATCATGCACTGGTTAGAGGTAAGGAGTGAGCATATAAGATGTGAAAAGCTTGTTGTATAATGTTGCTGTTGTTATGTGCCATCGAGTTGCCTGCAACCCATAGCAACCCTATGTATAGTAGTTTGAACCCTGCCCTGTCCTGAGACAGTCTCACAAATTCTGACACATCAACACCCATTGTTGTTTAACAGCTGTATCAATTCTCACCCAGGGCCATTCCTAAGTGTTAACCATGTTTCTGAGGGTTTTCTGAATTTTTAAAAAGTAAACTATGTTCCAAGATGCCTCTAGGTGGCTTTGAACCCTCAACTATTGGATTTGTGGTTAAGCACCAACCCTTTGCACATCTGGTCAAAGTGCTATTTTATTTCACAGAGTAAAACTTCTTTCACTTTCACCAAAAGGGTGCCTTACATCCCAATCAGTGACATTTGTTAATTTAAATATAAACCAAACCCCAAATCTATGGCCTTTAACTTGAATCTTGACTCATGCTGACCCTCCATTGGGTTTCTGAGGCTGTAAATCTTTCCAGGGGGTTGATGGGAGGGGAGGCTGTCCACCTCTCTCCCTCTGAGCAGCTGGTCCATGTTAACTGCTGAACTTTCCCTTAGTAGCCTGACTTTAGATGCACTAAATTTAAATATAGTACACTTTAAATGTCTTTATAAAATTTTTAAATATGTGGTGCTCCTAAATGGAAGGTTTGCCCGTCCTTTTTTCAATTTAAAGATTGCATTTCGTTGGAAGGGCATGTTAAGAATTATAGATGATATTCGATAGAAACTATTTGTAAGATTTTTATGGTTTTAAATATCATAGGAGGATGATAACTGTGGAGATAATCATATTTTAGGAGCAAAACCTAACACAATTCAAACCATCTTGAATTGAGTTTTGTGTTAAAGTTGGAAAACTGCGGTTAGCTTTCATGTGGAATTCTATACGCCACTATAATAGAGTGATCCTTGCAGGTTTGATTGCAGAGGCTGGCGTTAGATAACAAAAGGCGAGGGAGGAAGTGCATAAGATGCATCCTATCAAAAGCATATGGTGATTTGTTTTCTTTCTCTCTTAGAACTAGAGTGTTGAAGAACGTGTCAAAACATCCGACAGCACTTCCCCAGAAGTTGTTGATTCTCAGCATATTCACACTTGGTGATGAAGTCACCAGGCCCACTACTCTCAGGCAGGAAAAACGGAAAGACTGGCTGGCTCTTCAGAGAACTCCAGTTTCTCTGGGATTTCTTTTACTTACTTACTTTTTCTTGCCCCCAAGCAAAAGGAACAGACCTTGGAGGGAATTGAGAAATGGACACAAGAAAGAAGGTGACTGCAGAGATAAAACTAAGCCCGGACATGTTTTTGGAAAGCCAAAATTAAGGAGGGAAGAGCGAGAAGAGCGTATTCTATGAGGGGCTCCTGTCTATAGCTGGCTTAGGTAAGCCTGGAGGAGTGGAATTACTACATCTGGAGGAGTGGGAGCCGGCACTTCTCCAGGCTTATGTTTCCTGCTACAATGCCTTTGGCCTGAGTCCCTAAATGAAGCCATATTCCCACATTTGCTAAGAGTGGGAGCGAGGATAATATTCCCTCCATCAGGCTCAAATCTTTTCATGAGACAGTTGGTCACAGGGGAGGTAGAGAAGGAAGGGCTGGGACCCAAAGGTCAATTGTGTTGTTTGTGAACAGCATTATCAGCCCTCACAGAATTCCCACACAGCACACAGCACCTCATCTTACGACTGTCTGTGTGTGTATTGTTTATTTTCATCCCAAACAGGCCGCCTGGCTACCCAGCCTACTCCTGAGCTCCCCTTCCTAGTTGATGTGTGCTCAGAAAATGTACAGGACTTCAACTCCCAGTCCAAAAGAAGAAACATTACATGTATTTGTTTGCTTTCATTCTGAATTTTATGCAAAATTCTGGTGCATTTAAGAATGTTATATGTTTCTATGGGATTTCCTTCTCTATTTGACCAGCTCATGAAAATCAATTTGAAATGTTTCAAGTGTATTAAAAAAAAATATACACATAACTACAGGGTGAACTGAAGAGGGAGCAAAAGGGAGACCGAATTGATAGACTGGAGTCCCTGAGTGGTGTGAATGTTTGAGAGTCCTGTAAACTAAATGGCCAGAGGTTTGAGTACTCTTGGATGTACCTGGGAAGAAAGACCTGGGGGCTGAATTCTGAAGACAGCCACTAAAACCCCTGTGGAGCACAGCTTTACCCTGATACAATGGGTCTCCATGAGTTATAGTTCCATCGCTACTGGTTTAATTGATGTATTAGAATTTGGGGAAAGATTTTTATTCCTACCTGATTGCTAAGGAGCGCTGGTGGCCTAATTGGTAGAACGTTTGGGCACCAACCCAAAGGTGGGTGGTTCAAACCCCACCAGATGATCCTTGGAAGGAAGATGGGCAATCACATCTAGTCTGATTTACAGCCTCTAAAAGCCAACTGCACTTACTGCAGAGGGTCAAGGACTGCAGCCTTCGACATGGATTGAGGCTCAATATCAAGAAGACAAAGATTCCCACCACTGGACCAATTGGCAGCATCAGGATGGACGGTGAAGAGATTGAGATTGTTCACAGCTTTAGTTTGCTTGGCTCCACAGTCAACACTCTTGGCACCAGCAGCCAGGAAATTAAAAGACGTATTTCAATGGGAAAGTCTGCTGTTAGGGACCTCTCCAGGGTACTGAAGAGCAATGGTGTCTCTCTGGAGACTAAGGAGAAGGTGCATCTGATACAGGCCATGGTCTTTGCTATCACTTGTTATGCATCAGAGAGTTGGATAATGACTACGGAGGATAGAAGGAGAATTGATGCCTTTGAGCTGTGGTGCTGGAGAAGAGTATTGAGGGTACCATGGACTGCTAAGAAAACAAACAGATTCATCCTGGAAAGGGTTAACCTGGGCGGCTCCCTGGAGGCTTCGTCTGACATACTTTGGACATGTTGTAAGGGGGGACCGGTCCTTGGAGAGGGACATCATGCTTGGGAGGGTGGAGGGACAGCGCAGGAGGGGAAGGCCCTCTATGAGGTGGATTGATTCAGTGACTGGGATAATTGGGATGGGTGTGTTGGAGACAGTGTGATTGGCACAGCACAGAGCCAAGTTTAGGGCTGTTGTACATAGGGTCACTATGAGTTGCAAGCGACTCTACGGCACATAACAACAACAACAAAAGCCAACTGGAGGCTCATCTATGAATTTTTTCTAACTTGGAGGCAATGAGAAGAATTTGGTGGCTGCTGTGAACCCCTCACCCTGTAACACCTTAACCCTGTCCTCTCTATGAGAGCTGAGCTATAAGGGGTTGCTGACAGTAACATACCCAGGTTCTCTTCCATGCCTGTCATAAATTCCACTCTTGGCAGCCCATTTCTGGCTTCCTTTGGATGAGAGATTTTACTGACACCAAAAGGACACCTTGGAAATGCATGGAAAGGTGGAAGTTCAAAGAACTTGTCCATCAAATGAACTGACAGAGTGATTGCAGTTTAAAAACACTGGGTTTAAAAACAACAGAAATTGTGAGACTAGAGGAGGCTTTTGATCAGTTGGACATACTAATTGCCTTGGAATCAGAAATAACTCATAGCTGACCCTTGATTGGGTTTCTGAGACTGTAAATTCGATGGGGAAGAAAATGCCCATCTTTCTCCCTAGGAGCCATAGGTGGATTCGAACCCCCAGGGCCTGCGGGTAAGCAATTCCTATGGACTCTGCCACCAGAGCACCTCAGGGTCTCAAAAACTTTATATATATATTTGTGTGTGTGTGTGTGTATGTGTATATGTGTGTATATGAATATGTATATATGCATATTAAAAAAGACCAGTCCCACTTCCTCTGGGAAGTGGTGGAGCCCTGGTTTTGAACGAAACACTGAGGAAGGACCGCCCCAGTGAAGCAGAGCTGTCTCCACCTGCTCACCTTAGCCTTGCGCCTGCTCTCATCCATGATCATTTTCCAGTCCGAGCCGTTGTTGCTGTAGCCAATCTTGAACTTCCTCATGAACACTTTGCTCTCCCGGTGCTTCCCACCCTGGATGATGATGCCCCGCACGATCTTCTCCTCCCCCAGGTCTACTTGGAGCCACTCGTTACTGTAAGAATGAGGTGCAGGCGACAGGATCCAGCCCGAGCGACTGGTGACCAGACGGACATTCTCAGGCATCCAGTTTCGGTCGCCTTGGTTTGACGCTGTGATCTGGGAGTCAGAAATGAGTCCAGACACCATCCCCAGCATTCCAGAGCAAGGATAATCTAAGGAGTGGCATGAGGGAAATCAGTTAAATTATTTCCTGGAAGAAAGTTGAATAAAAACATTGCCTGCACCCAGGAAATCTCTAGAGAATTTTACATTCTGCTAGCTTCAGTGCTCCCTCCTCAATCATTTCTATTATTCTTTTAGACATTCTCTTTCTGATTCACATTCCAGTAAATAAAATTTTCAGTAAAACACATAGCTCCACATTAAAAAAAAAAAACACACCCACCAAACCAAAAAACCACCGAAACACAAACTTTTAAATGTTATTTAAGTTTACGGAACAAGTGGGTTTTCTGTTCAACCATTCATATGCATTTTGATCTGTGATACTGATTTAAATTACAACCTAAAAGCAACCCTCCCGGTCTGTTTTTGTATGTACCATTTTCATTAGTCCTTTTCTGCCTTCTGAATTTTAGCCCTGGAAAACTGCTACCCATTATTCTTGGAAGGTTGACTATGAGATGGATTGATACAGTAACTGGGGCAATTGGGATTGGTGTGTTGGAATTAGTGAGTCTGGCTCAGGACAGGGAAGGGTGCAGAGCTGCTGTACATAGGGTTACTATACATCACAGGCAACTCAACGGCACATAACAATAATAACATACTATGACAGATTTGGAAGCAAGAATGACATCTACTTCCTAAATAACATTCCTCCAGAAAATCTATGAATGTTGGTAAATGTGGTAAGTTGTAGAGGAGGACTTCAGGCCTTTTGTTCATAGGGTCGCTATGAGTCATGCTCAAGTCAAAGGTAATCAACAACAACATTCTAGTAAGTGCTATTTCTCTACTGTTATTACTTACCTGAAAACTAACTTTCATTGCCATGGAGTTGGAACTGACCAATAGCTGACCCTCCATTGGGTTTCTGTAAACTGCATGGGAAGAGTTTGCCCATCTTTCTCCCACAGAGCTGATGGTGCATTCTAACCACTGGAGAGGTACAGCCTTTAGGATAGTAGTGCAACTCTCTAGAGACTACGCCACCAGATCATGGTAACTATGTTATTCACGTTATAGGCCTGCCTCTTGTTTGGATGAAAATTGAGCCATAAGGATATCACCATCTTTTAATTCCTTCCAGGTTCACTACCGAGCTGTTTGTATTCTACCCTTCTGGTATACAGAAATTCTCTCTAGAAAAAGTACAGGTTTTGCCCAAAAGAAGTTCATACTTCATAATGGATTGTTGTGTGTATCAGTGGGTCTGAACCAACCCACAGCTGAGCCTCCAGGGGGCTTTCAGAGGCTTTAAATCACACAGGAGGAGACTGCTCATCTTTCTCCTGTGGAGCAGCTTGTGGATTCAAACCAGATACCTTTAGATTAGCAGCAAAATAACTTAGCACTAAGCCACCAGAGATCCCTTATAATGGTTTGGATATAAGTAAATTGAAAAGAACAAACAAATATGTCTTGGAGAGGGTACAGCCAGAGTGCTCTTTGGAAGAAAAAATGATGAGGTTTCTCCTCACATACTTTTGACATGTTGCTAGGAGGTGCTATTCCTTGGAGATAGACATGATGCTGTGAAGGGTAGAGGGTTGGTGAAGGAGGCGAAGACCCTCAATCAGGTGGATTGATGGAGTGACTGCTTCAATGGGCTCTTGTGTGCCAGGAAGTGTGAGGATGGCACAGGATAGAACAGGGTTCAGATCTTTTATTCAGAGTTGCTATAAGTCATAGTCAACTCGATGGCACCTAACAACAACAACACATTTAAAAAAAAACAAACCCCAAACTCTAAAAGCAGGAGACTTAGCTAAAGTAAAGGTAAACTGAGAATGGTAAGGAGGAAGAAGGTAGAAAGAGCTGGCAACATACTTCTGAAAGATCTAAATCCACTGCTGTGGAGTGGATTCGGATTCCTGGTCACTATCCACTGGAGCCCATCACATAAACACTAAGTCACCAGAGCTCCCTCTGAAAGATCACTACCACTGAAAACTCTAAGGATCACAGTTCTTTCTATTCTGATACACTTGAGGTCATTCTGAGTAAGGACGTGGGAGGAATCCAACTGTTCATCTTAGAGAGGTCGAAAGGGTTCCCTGGAGAAGGTGACATTGGGTTGAGTGTTAAAGAGCAAACATAACATTGATTGCTGGAAGTGAGCTGGACTCAAAATACTTGTTGCAGAAGACCTAGGACTACAGTGTTCAATATGGATAACATCTCCACATCAAGAATACAAAAGTCCTCACCACTGTGCCAATAGGAGAAAAGATTGAAGTTGTCACTGATTTCATCATGCTTGAGCCCACAATCAATGGAACCAGAAGTCAAGAAAGCGAAAGACATGTTGCAGTTGAGAAATCTGTTGTGAAGGACCCCTCCAAAGTGCGAAAGAGAAATGATGTCAGCCTAAAGACTAAGGTGCACCTGATCCAAGCCATGACATTTTCAATTACTTGCTATATATCTGAAAGTTGGACAATGAGTACAGAAGACAGAAAAATGCATGCCTTTGAGTTGCAGTGTTGGAGAAAAGTAGTGAATGTTCCAGGACGGCCAAAAGAACAAACACACATGCCTGGGAGAAAGTACAAACAGGGTGCCCTTAAAGGATGATAAAACTTAACTTCACACACTTTGGGCATGTTGCTTAGGTGGGGTTAGTCCTTGGAAAAAGACACCATGCTTGGAAAAGTAGAGGGCCAGTGAAAGAAAGGAAGGCTCTTGACAAGATGGACTGGTACAATGACCATAACAGTGGGCTCAAGTTTATCAGATGACGAAGATGGCACAGAATAGGGCCAGGCTCAGATCTATTATTCACAGGGTCATTTCAAGGGGTAGCGCATTCACCTGAACTTAACAACTTTATGTTCATGCTTAGCTGTCTTTTCCACCCTTATTTATAAGAGACAATATTTCAAGATAAATATCCATTGTCAGCACAAACATAGCACACTCAAACTGAAGCAGTCCTTTTTCTTCTAACGCTGAATTCTTTCCAGAATAATGTGTAATAATGATATTATTGCCCATCAAATTCCTGCCTAATTATCTTCTCTTTCCCTATTTTGTATTTTCAATTCCTGTTTTGCTACCAAATCCTATTAAATTTTCTTTTTAAAAGAACTATCTCACATTCCCCATTTCCTTTGGCATCCTTTGCTCCACACACTCATGACCAGGGTCCCTCTCCACGTGGCCTCCCAACTCCAGTCTAGAATCTACACTGCACTTAACTGCCAGATGATTTTTCAGTACAACTTTGCCACGTCACTCTCATGTTCAAAAATCCCCCTTGGCTTCTTGCTATTTATAGGACAACTTTATAAGTCTTCTACTGTCTTTTTTTTTTTTTTTTTGAGGGGAGGGAAGGGGGAGAAGACGCGATACTTTATTTTTTTATTTATGTCACACTAGGTGTGGGATCTTCTACTGTCTTTAAAAACTTTATTTTGATTTCACCTTATTTCTCTATTTTGTCTCCCATTAAGCAAAAAAAAAAAAAAACCAAAAAACAAAACCAACAACCAAACTCAAGTGATTCTATACTATGGGTCACAACTGACCTGCAGAGTTTCTAGGTATATAATCTTTACTAAGCAAACTGTCACATTTTTCTTCCAGAGAGTAACATGGGTTTGTTGTCAGGTGCCATTGAGTTGACTGTGACTCACACTGACCCTGGGAACAATAGATCTGAAGCTTCCTTATCCTGTGCCATCCTCATCATCTCCAATATATTCCAGCCCATTGGTACAGACACTGTGTCAATCCATCTTGTTAAGGGTCATTCTCAAACCTTTCCAACTATGATAGTTTTTTTCCAAGGGCTGATCCCTTCTAAATATGTAAGCTTTTACCATCTTTGCTTCTAAGCAACTGGTGGGTTTAAATTACTGATCTCTTGGTTAGCAGCTGAATGCTTTAACCTTCAAAAGGCCCTTATTTCCTACTAGGAGCAGTAACAGTCCAATGAATGAAATTTCTTTCTATACACTCACTGCCACAGTCATTACTGTTGACTTGATCCTGACTCCAGTGCCTCTAGGACAGAGCAGAACTGCTCAGAGAGTTTCCAAGGCTGTAATGGCTATGGAGAAAACCATGGTGGTGTAGTGTGCAATGTATTGATTGGGCTGCTAACTGAGAGATTGCTGACTGCATGTTGTCAGGAGACACTATTCCTTGGACAAGGACATCATGCTTGGAAAGGTCGGAGGCTGGCAAAAGAGAGGAAGATCCTCAACAAGATGGATTGACGACTGTGGCTATGGGTTCAAGCATGTCAGAATGATGAGGATGACACACGGTAGGTCAGGGTTCAGATCTGTTGTTCATAGGATTGCTATGAGTCATATCTGGTTTTGACAGCACCTATGACAATAACAACAGTGATAAGGAGTTGTGTTGTCACCAGATGCTGTGAGAGAAAAAGCTTGGCAATCTCAACTCATGAAACTTAACAGCCTCTGAAAACCCACTGAAGAGTCAGCTATGAGTCAGTTCTGACTCCACAGCAATGACTTACTTTTTTGACTTCTGAGTCATTCTCTGAGAGAATGGCACGTTTTCTCCCATAAAGATGTCTAACGTTGGCAACCCTATGAATTTGACTTGATGGCAGTAGGTTAATCTCTAGGAAAGCTGATTGCCACATCTTTCTCCTGTGGAGCAACTGGTGAAACCACTGACCAGCCCCATAGGTAACCCGCTGTGCTATCAGACCTCCTCTCCTTTCACACATCACAAGTATACTAGAGTCACCACCTTTGCTCAAAAATTCCCTGCTGTGCCTTTCTCCTCCTTTGGCAGAGCTAAAAGCTACTCCGCCCTTGAGTTCTAGCTTAAGATGCATCATAAAAATGTCTCGAAGGACTCCAGCCTTATTCCAAACCCTCCTTTCTCAAGAAGAAAAGGAATCTTGGTTAAGCATTCTGTCTCAAACCAGTGACGTTAGTGGTTTGAACCCACCCCATGGCTTCTTGGCTAAGAAAGCTCTGCTGATTAGCTCCTTTAAAACTTTCAG